GAGTGAAACTCTGTCTCAAAAAAAAAAAAAAAAAAAAAAAAAAAAAAAAAAAAAAAAAAAAAAAAGAAAAGAAATGTCCTGGAATAAGAAACAAGACTAAAAACACTGAGAATTATGGAAGTAGGCAGAAATGCTAGCCTAAAGGGATAGCCAAACTGGGAAGTCAAATAATTTCTCTGTAAGACTTGTTCTGCTGGCTGTTATAAAACTTACATATCTATGGCCAAAGCTAAGTAAGATCTGCCCTAAAGCCTTCGATGGTAAAAATACACAATAACTGTAAATGAGGATATTAACATATTTAATCCCTCATTAATGTAGACATTAATTAAATTAATTAATGTGATTAATCAGATTCAGAAGTATACCTTGGTCCTAGAGCTGCACAAATCTCTAGTCATTTATGCTGTGGAGCAAGAGAAAGGATATGGAAGCCAGGCAGGCAGACAGTCAAACAGTGGGCCAGCTACTTTGTTAACTATGGGATCATGAGCCAATTAATCAACAGCTCTAATCCATAGTTACCTATTTAATAAATAGTAGAATATAGGAACATAGATGTTGCAATGGTTTATGGAATGATAAATGCATAGCACATAAAAGGGTTCTAGCTCAGAATACAACACTCAGCGAATATAAGTTTCTTCTGTCTATATTTGCTTAGTTAACATAATTTTGTAAATCTGTACTTTCCTACCTGACTGCAGGTTCATCAGATTTCCAAGCATCTATTAAAAAAATAAAATGCATTTTAAATCAAAAATAAATATATACAATAATAAAAGCATAAGAATGCACAGTAATACATGCCTGAAATCCCACCTATTTGAGAGGCTGAGACAGGAAGATCACTGGAGGGACCCAGAAGATTGAGACCAGTTTGGGAAACACAGCAAGACTCAACCTTCATTAAAAATTGTGCACACTTGTGTGTATGTTTTCGATCCTGTATTTTGTTTGTTTTTTTAAAGCCTAAGACAAGACTGATGCTTTGTTACAAAGCATTCAAAGGGGAGCATACCTCGAACTTATTAGAACTAACATTAATTATACTTATTGTAGGTAATTAATTCAGAAAGAATTGTTATTTCCCTTTGTATTTATTAAATGCAAAGAAGAATACGTTTATTAAAATTTGATATCTACGAGTGAACTGTAATATACAAGTCATCCTAGCGAGACCCCATGAGATTAACAAAAGATTGCATTGCTAGCACAACAGGTGTGATGAGTAAACAGTGCCAAAGAGCATGATTTCTGGACCAAAATATGAGGGGCAGTTAACACAGCATACAGTGGTACACCTTATCCATCATATGTGTGGAAAAGACACCCTTGACATGTTTTTCTCTGCTGTCACACCACAGCAACAATCATCAACAAGAAGGCTCCTGCGAGCAAACGTATGGAGAGGTTTTCACAACCAACAAGCAAGCAATCATCTCTGCAGATGACACAGTTGGGCATCCTGTAATTCAGTTCTCATGCTCTGTCTGCAGATAGCATCATATTCTGTATGTAATACGCTTAGTTCCATGAGACTGCCTCCCTGCATCAATCCTAATTCTGAAACTCGAGAACTTCTGACCAACTGGTTTCAAACTGGGGTTTCCCAGGACTCCCTCTTTGGGTTAAATTGAATTGCTGGAGTGGCTCAAAGTACTTAGGGAAACACATTTACCAGTTTACTATGAATGACATTACAAAAGGCACAGATGAAGAGATGCATAGTGCCAAGTCTGGGGGAAGTGGCACAAAGCATCTATGCCCTCCCAGGACATGCCAGCCTCCAGAAACCTTCATGTATTCAGCCATCTGGAGGGTCTCCAAACCCAGTCCCTTTGGTGCTTTACCAATGCTTCATTAAGTAGGCATCGCTAATTAATCACTGGCTATTGGTGACTGACAACTTTCAGCCTTCTCTCCTCCACAGAGTTTGCAGACTGAGACAGGAGATCTCAAACCCTGTAATAAATCACGTCTTCAGGATAGGGACCAGTTGCTATCCTGAAGCTACCCAGGGGCTTCCAGCCACAAATTATCAGCATATAAAAAGACATCACTTTAGAAATTCTAGGGTGTTTTAGAAATTGTGCATTAGGAAAGAGTCAGAGATCAAATAGAGGTTTTACATCCCCAGTTTTGTTTTCTGTGGTTACAGCTACTGATAGCCAACTCTATTCCAAAAATATTACATAGAAAAACTCCTGAAATAAAGAAGTCCTCAGTTTTAGTGTGCCATTTTCAGAAGCAAAATTAAATCTCTAGGTATCCTCCTCTATCCAGCCCAGGATGTGAATCGTCCTGCAGCACATCCACACAGCATCTGCTACCCACCCATCAGTGATCAACACGGTCTCCTCCTGCACCCAGCCATCAAATTCATTAAGGCTTGAAGACTCAGGATCACTATAAGCCTACAATTTCTTTATTGACCTAGAGTCAGAGGGTAAATAATTGCCTAAAACTAAAATACAATGCCTATGTCATTCACTTCACCTCATCTGCTTACATGGACATTGTTTTGCCTCACATCATCAGAAGAAAACAGATGATAACCATCTGACATATTTAAGAGATCACATTCAAGTAAGTTTTATTGCAGTATAGTATTATTTTCTGTTTCATTTTTGCTTATTGTTGTTAATTTCTTACTGTGCCTAATTTACAAATAAAACTTCATCATAGATATGTATGTAAAGGAAAAAGTAGTGTGTGATTCACTTCTATTTGTGGTTTCAGGCATTCACTGGGGGTTTGGAATGTATCTCCCACGGCTCAGGGGGAGCTACTGCACTTATTTTGTGCAACACAACCAAGGCTCTCTGGCTCTTCAGTTAAAAGTGTTTAGTATAAAACAAGCTCACCCTATCACCAGAAGCCAGCAAAACATAAAAACCAGACCAGAAAGAGGAAACCTTGCAAATAATTTCCAACTGCCAGTGGAGAAGAGCTCAAGAGAGATTAGTTTGTTACTGTTGGTTGTAATACTCACATACCATTTAGGATGCAAATTAAAATTCTACATATTATTTCTGAGCATCTCACTATAATTGAAGATTTCGAAAGGGCATTGAAATGAACAACCAACTCATGATATTGGTGGCTTGTATGCAACCATGCTTTAAAAACTTTAACACCAAAAATTCTCAAAATCACCATTTTAAAAGACTGTTTATCAGTTATGAATGAAAGATTACTTTCCTCATTTTTAATAATAAAAAATGCCACAAACAATCACACACACACACACACACACACACACACACACACACACACACACCCCTGTACTCAGATTCTGCTCATTAGAATAAAGAATGGGCTTCAGATCATCAGTATAATAAGAATAGCAGAATTAATTTTCATTCCCACCAACAGCATAAGTTCCCATCAACAGTTTAAATTAGTTCCGCTGGTCTTATTACACTGGTGATCTGAAGCCAGTCAGACATTCT